AGACTAGAGGATCGCAAGAATCAAGTCAAAGATTTGAAATGCGAAGAAGCAAAAAACACCCAACCGGAAAAGCAAAATGAAAAAAGAATCCAAAAATATGAAGATAGTGTGAGGAGCCTCTGGGACAGCTTCAAGCGTACCAACATCCGAATTATAGGGGTGCCAGAAGATGAGAATGAGCAAGATATTGAAAACCTGTTTGAAGAAATAATGACAGAAAACTTCCCCTACCTGGTGAAAGAAATAGACTTACAGGTCCAGGAAGTGCAGAGAACCCCAAACAAAAGGAATCCAAAGAGGACCACACCAAGACACATCATAATTAAAATGCCAAGAGCAAAAGACAAAGAGAGAATCTTAAAAGCAGCAAGAGAAAAAAAGTCAGTTACCTATAAGGGAGTACCCATACGACTGTCAGCTGATTTCTCAACAGAAACTTTGCAGGCCAGAAGGGAGTGGCAAGAAATATTCAAAGTGATGAATAGCAAGAACCTACAACCAAGATTACTTTATCCAGCAAAGCTATCATTCAGAATTGAAGGTCAGATAAAGAGCTTCACAGATAAGAAAAAGCTAAAGGAGTTCATCACCACCAAACCAGTATTATATGAAATGCTGAAAGGTATTCTTTAAGAAGAGGAAGAAGAAGAAAAAGGTAAAGATAAAAATTATGAACAACAATTACATGTCTATCAACAAGTGAATCTAAAAATCAAGTGAATAAAAAATCTGATGAACAGAATAAACTGGTGAATATAATAGAAACAGGGGCATAGAAAGGGAGTTGACTGATAATTCTCAGGCGGGAAAAGGGTGTGGAGGGTGGGGGAAGAGACTGGACAAAATCGTACACACCTATGGATGAGGACAGTGGGGGCGGGTAAGGACACAGGGTGAGGTGGGAACTGGGGGGAGGGAAGTTATGGGGGGAAAAAGAGGAACAACTGTAATAATCTGAACAATAAAGATTTAATTAAAAAAAAGAAGTTTAGGTTCTCCCACAGGAAAATATGTTCCCATAGATAAATGTGCATTTCCCACAAAGGAACATGTTTCCTCAACAGGAAGAATAGTTTCCCCCATGGAATGGTGTGTTTTGACCACAGGAAGAAGAGTTTCGCTACAGGAAGAAAGGTCCCCCCACAGGAAGAAGTGTTTCCTTACAAGAACATGCATTCCCCTATAGTAATGTCCACTTCCCCAACAGGATGATGTCTACCCCCACAGGAAGAATGGTTTCCACACAGGAAGATGTTTTTGCTTACAGGAAAGTGCATTTCCCCACAGGAAATGTGTTCCTCCTACAGAAGGATTAGGTTCCCCAACAGGAGTGTGAATTTTCCCCACACATAGATGAGTTCTCCACAGCAAGGTGCGATTCCCCCAAAGTAAGAAGTGTTCATTCACAGAAAGATATATTAACCCAAAGGAAGAATTTCTGCACAGGAAGTTACATTTTGTACCCAGGAATGTGCTTTTTGCCATGGGAAGATGGTTCCCCAAAAGGATGATGTGTTCCACAGAGGAAGATATGTTCCCTTACAGGAAGGTGTGTTTTTCAGGAAGCTGCATTACCCTATGGAAAGTTGTGTTTTCCCACAAAAAGTTGTTTTTCCCTGACAAAAAGAATGATTCCCACACAGGAAGATGTGTTCCCCCACCCCACCCCACCCCGAAAGATGAATTTTTCCACAGAAACACACTGTTTCCCCCAAAGAAAGATGTGTTACCACACAGGAGGGTGCATTTCCTCCACAAAAGGTGAATTTTCCCCACAAAAAGGTATGTATCTGTCACAGGATAAAGGGTTCATCCAATAGGAAGGTGCGTTTTCCCCATTGAAAATGTTCTCCCACAGGAAGATGTGTTCCCAAGATGATGGTGTGTTTCTTGCAGAGAAATATGCCTTTCCCCTACAGCCAGAAGTATGCTAGCACAGGAAGGTGAGTTTCCCTCACAGGAAGAAACATTTCCCCACAGGAAGGTCTATTTCCCCCACAGGAATATGTGTTACCTCACAGGAAGGTGCATTCACCCACAAAATGGTGCTTTTCCCTGACAGAAATAGCAATTCCCACACAGAAAGATGTGTTTCCCACACAGGAAGATGAATTGTCCCTCAGGAAGGTGAATTTCTCCCACAGAAAATATGTTCCTTTACATGAAGGTGTTTCTATCCTAAAGGAAGATGTTTTTTCACACAGCAAGGGGCCTATCCCCTGCAAGAAGGTGAATTTCCAACAACGGAAGGTGCGTTTCCCCATAGGAGGTTCTGTATACCTCACAGATGAAGGGTTCACCCCATAGGAAGGTGGGTTTCCCCCACAGAAAGGGTTTTCCCAAAGAAAAATGTGTTCCCGCATAGGAAGGTGTCTTTCCCTCACAGGGAGATGGATTCCTGCACAAAAAGATGAGTTTTCCTCATAGGAAGATACTTTCCCCCATAAGAAGGTGTGTTTTCCTCACAGGAAGATGTGTTCCCCCACAGGAAGGTACATTTGCCCCACAGGAAGGTGATTTTACCCCATTGGAAGAGGCATTCTCTCACAGATTCCCAACAGGAATGTGTTTTTCCTTCAGGAAGATTAGATTCCACAACATCAAGGTGGTTTTCCTCAACAGGAAGATTAGGTTCCCCTACAGAATAATACATTCCCACACAGAAATGTGCAATTCCTGCAAAGGAAGATGTTTTCCTCAACAGGAAGGTCAGTTTCCCCCTCAGAATGATGGGTTTTGAGCACAGTAAGAAGTGTTTCCCTACAGGAAGAAAGGTTCCCCCGCAGGAAGAAGTGTTCCCTTACAGAAAGATGCACTCCCCTATAGGATTGCTCGTTTTCCCTACAGGATGATGTGTACCTTCAAAAGAAGAAGAGTTCCCCCAACCCCCAGAAAGATGTGATCATTCAGAGTAAGAATTCCTACACAGGAAGGTGCATTTTTCCCTAACGAGGGTGTATTTTGCCATGGGAAGATTGTTCCCCAAAAGGAAGTTGTGTTCCACAAAGGAAGATGTGTTCCCTCATAGGAAGGTGCATTTCCCCCACAGGAAGGTGAGTTTTCCCACAAGAAGAAGGGTTCCCTTGCAGACAAGTGTGTTTTCCAACATGAATATGTTCCCCCACACAAAGATTAGGTTCCCCCACAGGAAGGAACTTTTCCCCAACAGGAAGATTGGATTCCCCCACAGGAATATAGGTACCCACAGTGGAAGGTGTGCTTCCCCCAAAGAAAGATGTGTTCCACAATAAAAAGATTCATTGCCCCCACAAGAATGTGCGTTTTGACCACAGGAAGACGGGCTCCACCACAGGAAGAGGTGTGTTCCTGAAGGAAGAAGGGTTCCTGCACAGGAAGTTGCCTTCCCCCACAGGAAGAATGTTTTTTGCCCACAGAAAGTTGCATTTCCCCTCAGAACATGAATTCCCCTACAGAAAGATTAGGTTCCCCCACAGGAAGGTGAATTTCCCCCACATATAGATACATTCTTCAAAGGAAGGTGCATTTCCCCCCAAGTAAGAAGTGTTCCTCCACAGAAAGATGTAATGACCCACAGGAAGAAGAATTCTTGCACAAGAAGGTGTGTAACCCACCAGAACAGTGCATTTTGCCATGGGAAGATAGTTCCCCAAAAGGAAGTTGTGTTTCCCAGCATGAAGAGGTGTTCCCTCACAGGAAGATGCATTTCCCCCACAGGAAGCTGCATTTCCTTACAGGAAGGTGCATTTTATACCAATGGAAGGTGCATTTTCCCTCACAGGAAGAAGGGTTCCCACCCGGGAAGGTGCCTTCCCCACAGAGAATTAATGGTTTCTACATAGGAAGATGTTATTGCCCACAGGAAGGTGCATTTTTGCCACAGGAAATCTGTTCCCTCTACAGGAAGATTAGGTTCCCCCACAGGAAGGTTAATTTCCCCCACATATAGATGCCTTCTCTACAGGAAGGTGTGTTTCTCCCAAAGTAAGAAGTGTTCCTTCACAGGAAGAAGTGTTCGCCCACAGGAAGAAGAATACCTGCACAGGAATGTGTGTTTTGCACCCAAGAAGGTACATTTCCTTATGGGAATATTGTTCCCCAAAAGGAAGTTGTGTTCCACAGAGGAAGATGTGTTCCCTCACAGGAAGGTGTGTTTCTCCCACAGCAAGCTGTATTATACTACAGGAAGTTGCTTTTCTCCACATAAAGTTGCCTTTCCCTGACAGAAAGAATGATTTCCAAATTGGAAGATGTGTTTTCCCCCACAGAAAGGTGAATTTCTCTTACTGGAAGGTGTGTTCAATTACAGGAATGTGTGTTTTCCCTCAAAAGGAAGATGTGTCATCATACAGGGAGGTGCCTTTCCTCCTCAAAAGGTAAATTTCCACAACAGGAATTGTGTGTATCCCCCACAGAATGAAGGGTGTATCCCAGAGGCATGTACGTTTCCCCCACAGAAAATGTTTTCCCACAGGAAGATGTGTTCCCACACATGGTGTGCTTCTTGCAGAAGAGGATGCCATTCCCCCACAGCCAGAAGGATGCCTGCATAGGAAGTTGAGTTTCCCTCACAGGAAGATACTTTCCCCCAGAAGAAGGTGTATTTCCCCCACAGGAAGAGGTGTTCCCACTGAGGAAGCTGCATGCCCTCATAGGAAGCTGCATTTCCATACAGGAAGGTCAATTTCCCCACAAAAGTTACTTTTCCCTGACAGAAATTATAATTTCCACTAGGAAAATGTGTTTCCCTCAAAAGAAGATGAATTTCCCCTCAGGAAGGTGAATTTCTCCCACAGAAAATGTGTTCCCTCCCATGAAGGTGTGTTTCTCCCAAAGGAAGATTTGTTTCCACACAGCAAGAGGCCTTTCCCTGGCAAGAAGTTGAATTTTTGCCAAAAAAAGGTGCGTTTTCCTCCACAGGAAGAGGTGTTACACCTGCAGGAAGGTGCATTTTCTCCACAGTAAGGTGAATTTCCCCAACTGAAACAAGGGGTTCCCTCACTAGAAAAGTGTTTCACAACAGGAAGTTTTGTATTCCCTTATGGAAGATTGGGTTCCCCAAGAGGAAGGTGCTTTTCCTCAACAGCAAGATTGGGTTCCTACTCAGGAAATGAGGTTCCCACACAGAAATGTGTGTTTCCCCCAAGGAAGATATTTTGCTCATCAGGAAGATTAGTTTCTCCCACAAAACATTGTGTTTTGACCACAGGAAGAAAGGTTTACCAACAGGAAGAAAGGATCTACCACATTAAGAAGTTTTCCCTTACAGGAAGATGCATTCCCCTATAGTAATGTCTGTTTGCCCACAGGATGATGTATACCCCCAAAGGAATAAGGGTTTCCTCAAAGGAAGATGTGACCACCCACAGGAAGAATTCCTGCACAGGAAGGTGCATTTCCCCCCAAATGAAGAGGCATTTTGCCATGGGAATATCATTCCCCAAAAGAAAGCTGTGTTCTATGAAGGAAGATGTGTTCCCTCACAGGAACATGCATTTCCTTCACAGGTAGGTATGTTCACCCACAGGAAGAAGGGTTCCCTCACAGACAGTCATGTTTCCCAACTTAAATGTGTTTCCCCCAGATGAAGATTAGGTTCTGCCACAGGAAGAGACTTTTACCCAAGAGGAAGATTAGGCTCCCCCACAGAAATATAGATTCCCACAGTGGAAGGTGTGTATCCCCCAAAGGAAGAAGTATTCTCCAACTGGAAGTTTCATTTCCCCCACATGAATGTGCATTTCAACCACGGCAAGAAGGGCTCCCCAACAGGAAAAAAGATTCTACCACAGGAAGCAGTGTAGACCTACAAGAGGGTACATTCCCATATAGGAAGGCGTGGTTTCCCAAACAGGAAGATGTGTGCCCCTACAGGAAGAAGATTTCCTGCGCAGGAGGTGCCTTCCCCACCAAAGCAAGTGTTCCAGTACAGTAAGGTGAGTTTTCCCCACTGGAAGATACTTTCTTCTACAGGAAGATGTATTTCCCCATCAGGAAGGTGTGTTTTCCTGCACAAGAAGAAAGGTTCCTTCACAGATACATGAATTTTCCTCACAGGTAAATGTGTTCTCCCACAGGAAGAATGATTCCCCCACAGACATGTGTGTTCCCAACATGAATGTGTTTTCCCCACAAGATTAGGTTCCCCCTCCAGAAGGGGATTTTTCCCAATAGGAAGATTATTCTCCCCCACAGGAAAATTGGTTCTCACACAGGAAGGTGCATTTCTACTGAAGGAAGATGTGTTCCCTGGCAGGACGTTTCATTTCCCCCACAGGGAAGTGCATTTTGACCACAGGAAGGAGTGTTCTGTATAAAGAAAGGTTCCTCTACAGGTAGAAGTGTTGCCCTGCAGGAAGATGCATTCCCCTCTCAGAAGGTGTGTTTCCCCAACAGGAAGATGTGTACCCCCAAAGAAGGAAGGGTTTCCACATAGGAAGTTGTTTTAGCCCACAACAAGGGGAATTTTCCCACAGGAAGATGCATTTCCCATATAGGAATATCAGGTTACCACAGAAAGATTAATTTTCTTCACATAGAGATACGTCCCACAGAAAGGTGCTTTTTGCTCAATGGGAAGATGAGGTTCCCACACTGGGAGGCGCTTCTCCCCAAAGAAACATGTTTTCCTCATCAGTAAGGTTAGTGTCCCCCACAGAACAGTGCATTTCTTCCAGAGGAAGAAGGGCTTCCCCACAGGAAGAAGTGTTCCCCTACATGAAGATACATTCCCCTATAGAAAGGTGCATTTCACAACAGGAATATGTCTATCCCCAAAAGGAAAAGGGTTCCCCCACAGGAAGATGTGTTCATCCAGAAGAAGAATTGCTGCATTGGAAGGTGTGTTTCCCCCACACCACTATAGGCAGGTCTATTTAGTCATGAGAAGATTGTTCCCCAAAAGAAAATTTTTCCCCAGAGGAAGATGTGTTCCCTCACAGGCACATGTATTTCCCCCCAGCAAGCAGAATTCCCCTACAGAAAGGTGTATTTTCCCCACAAATCTTGCTTTTCCCTGACAGAAAAACAATTCCCACACAGGAAAGTGTGTTTACCATACAGGAATATGAATTTACCCTACAGGAAGGTGAATTTCCACCACGTAAATATGTGTTCCTTCACAGGAAGGTGTATTTCCCCCAAAGGAAGATGTGTTCACACATAGAAAGGTGTAATTCCCAACAAAAGGTGAATTTCCTACACAGGAAGGTGTGTCTCCCCCGCCTGGATGAAGGGTTCATCCCACAGGAAGGTGCATTTACCCCAAAGGAATGTGTATTTCAGCCATAGAAAAGGTTCTTCCACAGGAAGGTGAGTTTCCCCCGAAGAACGGTTCCCTCACAGGAATATGCATTTCCCCATAGGAAGTTGCGTTTCTCCCAAAGGATATGGGCTCCCTCAGAGGAACATATATTTCCCCAAAGGTAGATGTGTTTGCCCACAGAAAGAAGGTTTCCCTCACAGATGTGTGTTTCCCAACATGACTGTGTTTCTCCCACAAGAAGATTAGGTTTCCCACAGAAAAGGGCATTTCCCTAACAATAAGACTAGGTTCCCATACAGGAATATAGGTTCCCACACTGGAAGGTGTGTTTGCCTCAAAGGGAGGTGTGTTCCCCAAATGGGAGGTTAATTTACCCACAGGAATGTGTGTTTCGACAACAGATAGATGGTCTCTCCCCCCCCCCCCCCCCTCCCCAGGAAAAAGGGTCCATAACAGGAAGAAGTGTAGTCCTACAGGAAGATACAGTCCCCTATAGGATAACACGGTTCTGTCACAGGAAAATGTGTGCCCCTAAAGGAAGAAGAATTCCTGCACAGGTAGTTGCCTTCCCCTTCATAGGAAGAATGGTTTTGGCACAGGAAGATGTTTTTGCCCATGGGAAGCTGAATTTCCCCACAGAAAGTGTGTTCCCCATACAGGAAGATTAGGTTCCCCTCAGGAAGGTAAATTTCCTCCACATATACATGTGATCCCCACAGGAACGTGTGTTTTTCCCAATGTAAGATATATTCCTCCACAGGAAGATATGTTCACTCACAAGAATTCCTGCACAGGAAGGTACATTTCACATCCAGAAATGTGCATTTTGCCCTGGGAAGATTGTTCCCCAATAAGAAGTTGTACTCACAGAAGATGTGTTCCCTCACAGGAAGGTGTGTTTCTCCCACAGGAACCTGCATTCCCCTAAAGGAAGTTGCATTTCCCCACAAAATGCTGCTTTTCCCTGACAGAAAATATGATTCCTAATAAAGATTATATGTTTTCCCCAAGAGGAAGATGAATTGCCCCACAGGAAGGTGAATTTCTCTCACGGGAAAATGCGTTCCTTCACAGGAATGTGTGTTTCCCCTAAGGAAGAATGTGACCACACTGAAAGATGCCTTTCCTCCACAAAAGGTGAATTTCTCCCACAGGAATGTGCATATCCCCCACAGGATGAAGGGTTCATTTCACAGGAAAGTGCATTTTCCCCACAGAAAATGTTCTTCCACAGGAAGATACTTTACCCCACACAAAGGTGTATTTCCCCCACAGGAAGATGTGTTCCCCCACAGGGAGTGCATTTCCTTCATAGGAAAGTGTGTTTCCCCCATGGGAAACATGCATTTTCCCCACAAGTAGATGTGTTTGCCCACAGGAAGAAAGGTTCCCTCACAGAAAAGTTTGTTTCCCAACAGGAATGTGTTTCCTACACTGGAAAATTAGGTTCCCCCAAAGGAAGGGGCTTTTCCCCAACAGGAAGATTAGTTTCCCTCACAGAAAAATAGTTTCCTATACAGGAAGGTGCATTTCCCCTAAATAAAGATGTATGCCCCAACAGGAAGGTTCATTTCCCACACAGGAAAGTGTATTTTGACCACAGGAAGGGGGGGTTCCTCCTGAAGAAGATAGTTTCCACCACAGGAAGAAGTGTTGCCCTACAGGAAGGTGCATTTTGCTATTGGAAGGTGTGTTTTCCCAGCAGGAAGATGTGTGCCCCAAAGGAAAAAGGGTTCTTAAACAGGAAGGTGCCTTTCCCCATAACAGGAAGAATGATTTTTGCACAGGAAGGTGTTTTTGCCCATACAAAGGTGCATTTTTTCAGAAACAGATGCGTTTCTTCTAAAGGAAGATTAGTTTACCCCAGGAAGGTGAATTTCCCCCACATAAAGATGCGTTCCTCCACAAAGAGGAACATTTCATTTCTTCCAAAAAATGAAGTGTTCCCCCAAAGAAAGATGTGTTCACCCATAGGAAGAAGAATTTCTGCACCAGAATGTGTGTTCCCCCTGGAAGTTACATTTTGCTATAGGAAGATCATTCCCCAAAAGGAAACTGTGTTCCCCAGCAGGAAGATGTATTCCCTCACAGGACAGTGCATATCCCCCATAGGAAGCTGCATTTCCCTACAGGAAGGTGCATTTCCCAACAAAAAGTTGCTTATCCCTGACAGAAATTAGGATTCCCACACATCAAAATGTGTTTCTCTTACAAGAAGATGAATTGCACCTCATAGAAAATGTGTTCCCTCATATGAAAGTGGATTTCTCACAAAGGAGATGAGTTCCCACAGAGCAAAGGGCCTTTCCTTCACAAGAAAATTAATTTCCCCCAAGAATAGGTGCATTTCCCCCATAGGAGGTTGCGTATTCCCAGCAAGATCAAGGGTTCACTACACAGGAAGGTGGGTTTCCCCCACAGGAATGGTTCTCCCACAGGAAGATGTGTTCCTACACAGGAAAATGCCTTTCCTCCACAGCAAGAATGATTACTGCAGCACAGGAAGGTGAGTTTTCCTCATTGGAAGATACTTTTCTCCACAGGAAGGTGTATTTTTTCTCCACTGGAAGGTGTGTTTCCCTGCAGTAGGTGAGTTTTCCCTCAGAAAGAAATGGTCCCTCACAGAAACATGCATTTCCCTCACAGGTAGATGTGTTTGCTCACAGAAAGAATGGGTTCCCTCACAGACACATGTGTTTTCCAACATGAATGTGTTCCCCCTACAAGAAGATGAGGTTCTCCCATCAAAAGGAGCTTTTCTCCAATAGGAAGATTAGTTACCCCTAAGGGAAATAGGTTCTCACACAGAAAGGTGAATTTCTAACAGAAAGATGTGTTCCATAGCATAAAGGTTTATTTCCCCCACAGGAAAGTGCATTTCCACCACAGGAAAGAGGGTTCCACTACAGGAAGAATTGTTGCCCTACAGAAAGGTGCGTTTCCATCTCGTAAGGTGTGTTTCCCTAACAGAAAGATGTGTACCCCCAAAGTAAGAACAGTTACCACACAGAAAGGTGCCTTCCCTCCTACAGGAAGAATTGTTTCTGCCCAGGAGGGTGTTTTAGTCCACAAGAAGGGGAATTTTCCTACAGGAAGATGTACTCCCCCTACAGGAAGATTAGGTTACCACAGGAAAGTTAATTTTTTCCACATAGACATGTGTTCTCCCACAGAAAGGTGCATTTTCCCCAAAGGAAGAAGTGTTCCTCCCAGGAAGATGTATTAACCCACAGGAAGAAGAATTCTTGTACAGAAAAATGCATTGCACCCAGAATTGTGCATTTTGCTATGGGTATATCATTCCCCAACAGGAAACTTTTCCCATGCAGGAAAATGTGTTCACTCACAGGAAGGTGCGTTTCCACCACAGGATGCTGCATTTCCCTACAGGAAGGTGCATTTCCCCACAATAAGTTGCTTTTCCCTGACAGAAATTATGATTTTTTTCACAGAAAAATGTGTTTCGCCACAGGAAGATGAATTGCCCCTCAGGAAGGTGAATTTCTCCCACAGAAAATGTTCCCTCCCATGAAGGTGTGTTTCTCCCAAGGGAAGATGAGTTCCCACAGAGCAAGGGGTCCTTCCTCTGCAATAAGGTGAATTTCTTCCAAGGGTAGGTGTGTTTCCCCTATAGGAGGTTGTGTATACCCCACATGATGAAGGGTTCACTCCATAGTAAGGTGGGTTTTCCCCACAGGATAGGTTCTCCCACAGGAAGATGTGTTCCTACACAGGAAGGTGCCGTTCCTCCACAACAAGAAGCATTTCTGCACAGGAAGATGAGTTTCCCTGAGAGGAAGATATTTTCCCCCACAAGATGATGTATTTTTCCCACAGGAAGATGTGTTCACCCACAGGAAGGTGCATTTTCCTCACAGGAGGTGAGTTTTCCCAAATGAAACAAGGGTTCCCTCACTGTAAGTGTATTTCACAATAGGAAGGTGTGTTTTCCCTTCAGGAAGATTAGGTTCCACAACAGGAAGGTGCTTTTCCTCAACAGCATGATCAGGTTCCTACACAGGAAAATAGGTTCCCACACAGAAATGTGCATTCACCCCAAAGGAAGATGTTTTCCTCAACAAGAAAATTACTTTCCCCCATAAAACGGTGTGTTTTGACCACAGGAAGAAGGGTTTACCTACAGGAAGAAGTGTTCCTTTACTGGAAGATGCATTCTCTTATAGTAATGTCTGTGTCTCCATCAGGATGATATGAATCCCCAAAGGAATTATGGTTCCCTCACAGGAAAATGTGATTACCCACAGGAAGAAGAATTACCCCCAATGAAGTTGCATTTTGCCATGGGAAAATTGTCCCCCAAAGGAAGTTGTGTTCCACAAAGACAGATGTATTCCCTCACATGAAGGTGTATTTCCCACACAGGAAAGTGAGTTTCCCCCGCAGGAAGAAGGGTTCCCTGATAAGAACATGCATTTCCCACACAAATAGATGTATTTGCCCAGAGGAGGAAGGGTTTCCTCACAGTCAGGTGTGTTTCTCAACATGAATGTGTTTCCCCCACAGGAAGATTAGGTTCCCTGACAGGAATGGGCTTTTCTCCAACAGGAAGATTAGGTTCCCCCACAGGGAATATAGGTTCCCACACTGGAATGTATGTTTCCCCCAAAGAAAGGTTTATTCCCCAACTGGAAGATTCATTTCCCCCACAAAAATGTGCATTTCATCCGCAGGAAGAAGGGCTCCCCCACAGAAAAAATGGTTCAACCACAGGAAGAATTGTAGACCTACAAGATGGTACATTCCCATATAGGAAAGCGTGGTTTCCCAAATAGGAAAATGTGTGTCCCTAAAGGAAGAAGGGTTCCCACACAGGAAAGTGCCTTCCCTTTCAGGCAAGAAGGATTCCTGCACAGTAAGGTGAATTTTCCTCACTGGAAGATACTTTCCTCCACAGGAAGGTCTATTTTCTCCACTGGAAGTTGCATTCCAACAACAGTAAGTTGTGTTTTCCCTCACTGGAACATGCATTTCCCCACAGGTAGATAGTTTGCTTTC